TTTTCCAGTTACAGATGAACTAGGCTTCCCCTCTGAACCTATATATGACAGCAGCCATCAGGGATGGTTTTAGGACAGTGAATTTTATATTCCCTCAATGTCAGAGGGAATCATTAAAAAGTCCTTCCAACCCTGATTTTGCTTTGATTTTCACAGGATGCCCCTTCATAACTGACAAAGACCTCATCTGATAAAGCAAATGGCTAATAGGTTGTGAGCTTTGAGTGGGCAACAACAATTTCCACTGATGTAAATAGGAAGGTCCTCTGGGCTTCTCAAAATGAGGCCAGACTTTATAAGACTAGGTACCTGATGAAGTGGGTTTTATCCACCACAACTCATGACCTAATACATTTGTTAATCTTTAAGGTGCCACAGAACTGCTTGTTTTTACAGTTACAAATTAACATGCCTACCCCTCTGAAACTAGGCCTCTAACTCTAATAACCATCCTCCTCCTTGCTAAGTTTAGGGCTCTTTTAAAAAGACTAATAGATTTTATATGACAACCCAGGAACCACAGCACAAATAATTGCGAAGCACTTCACCATTATTGACCTGGTTTGACCAGAGTTGCAATACACATGAACAGCATATTTCAGAGAGACCATATGCACACAATAGAGCAATGCAGAGTTTGTAACCAATTTAGCACAGCTCAATAAAGAATAAAAGGGCTGGCTACACAGCTTTGCCAAATTGGAGTAGGTGAATTAATGCCTTCATCTATCACGCTGCGCCCTGGCACACTCACATGTAACCTCGACTGCCTTTTCTCTTTATTTGGAATGAATAAACAGACTCATGTACAAAGTGTCCCCAGCAACATTTACCCCACTAGCCATGTTAAATAACAGGGATTGGAATCAATGGGGTATAACACAACGTTTTGGCACAGATGCCAAGTGGGGTTGGAAGTTTGTCACTGTTGGTATACCTGGCTGTTTGTCTTACTACCTAGGTTCCATCAAAATCTGAAGCCATTTGCTCAGTCTGGTATTTTCAGGCTCATGTGTTTTGTTCCCCTAATGCCAAGCTTTTGATTTTTTTTAAGTCTTGATTTGAAATAAGTGGTAGAAATATTCCAAAACTCTGTTGCAGCAGCGTCTAGTATTGATTTAAAAATGAAATAGACTTATAGCTTCGCATTGAAATTTTGCTATTGCATTCTCTAACACAGCTCTGGGGTCACGGAAGGGATGTATTTATGGAGAGGAAGTGGGAAACTGGGACTGCATTCATGATTTAACTTATATCACCTACCTTCACTGGGTATATGTACTGCAGTGTAGATGAACTCAGTGTGAGCTTTTAACATTGGCAGGACAAATAATGTAGCCCATTTTTCAGTTATTACATTTGTATCCCCTTCCCTATTTTAACCATGTAACTTTTCCCCTTATCTAACTAGTCAAAACAATTTAAAATAAAATCTGCTGAATTCCTCTCTTATTTCCTCTGTTTACATCACAAGTTAGCATCCAGTTCTCTCCAGTTTGTTCTATTCCCACATTAGATCTTATTAAGGTTGTAGTTTCTTTTGGGGGAGGATTAGGCATCAGTACAGGAAGAATTATCATCCTATAATGCAGTAGCATGCTAATCAGACATATTGCGGTTGGTGCTGCACAAGGATATAGTAACAGTTTCTGCACAGATGAGCAAAGGAACCTTTGACGTAGGCTTGTGAGTGGTTTCAAGAGGGAACATCTTTCAGACTGAAATGTGCACTCTATGGTCTCTATCAGGGAAACTTTATAGTTGTCCTCTCTTTAGTTGCCATTTTTCTTAATCTAAAAAATAGTCACTCAGGCTGAAATTATAGCAGTAGCTGTTTGGATAAAGTTACCTGATATCATCCTCCCTCCCTACCCTGGACTGTCCAGTTCTGCATTTTGTTCTGGAAACCTGAAGCTACAAAATGGTGTACCTTAACACCTCCCCTCATCTGCAATGGATACTGCTATGAGTCTGCTTGAAGCCGTTGCTCCCAGTGCCTGGGGAAAAAGCTGCAGCAGATTTAGAGGGACCACACCCACCACCGGGACCTGACCAGTGGCACTGATACCACCATCAGGTCTGGAGAAGTGAGGCCTGGCCGGCAGCAATGACATCAACAGCAACACTCAGGTTGCAAAACTGGGGCCTAGCAGTGGCACCAGCCCAGAAGGTGATGGGAAGGGGAAATGCATGAAATGGGCTGATCCATATTCCCCATGGGTGGAAGGAAGAGAGAGAGTCATGAAGCCAATTTGTTCTGATTTATAAACTATTTTCCATGTCAGTGTTATTTAAGTGACATTTCACTAGCTTTCAAAATTACATTGGATGTTACATTTGTTATTTTTTTTATTTCTTAAGTTTGAAAGAAAAATTGTAAGTTAAATTAATGGGAATTTCTGACTTGACAGAAAATGCTTTTATCATTGCTACAGCAAGCATCGCTAGGTGGTGCTATTACACACCATCTTCCAAATTCTTAGCCTGCAAGCAAGTTTTGGACAGGCAGATGTGTAACGCATGGGAAGCTGTGCTATGTGGTTGTTAGTTTTGGATTATGCAAGATTGGATATAGAGACAGCTTTGGAAGAGAGGGAGCCGTGTGAACAGCTGGAGAATTTGCTCTCTGCCTTGGGGTATGATAAGAGTCCATTCTCAAAGCAGAGTTGCTCCCTGGGAACTAGGGATGTAAGCAAGTAATCGACTACCCAATAAGCAAAAGCTGATTGGGTAGTCAACTGGAGTATCAACTACT